GTAGCAGACACGACACGACGGATCTTCGACAGACAAGATATTGGACAGTATGCGCACCCACATCACGGATTTGGTGAAAGCAGCCAACAAGAAAACAAATTCCTGCTGTTATTCCTGGAGGTACAACAAAGGTTTTGCAACCCCTGGACATCAGTGTGAATCGTGCATTTAAAGCAGCACTCAGGGCTGAATGGGAGGCTTGGATGACTGATGGGGATAAATCCTTCACAAAAACTGGCCGAATGCGAAGAGCATCATTTCCTGATGTCTGCCAGTGGATCCTAACAGCGTGGAGCAGAGTGAATGAGTCCACCATCACCAATGGGTTCTGAAAGGCTGGACTGCTACGTGAAGAGGGCACCACAGCTTCAGAGCCAGCATTACCCCGGGAGGACAGCGACACAGAAAGCAACACTGAACAGATACCGCTTTTCTGAGCTTGTTTAACTCCGACACTGAAGAGGAGGACTTCGATGGTTTCAGTGCGCTGGAGGGCGATGAATGAGACGTTTTGTTGGAYCAGAAACTGTTAAAGAAAACTACCAAAATAAGGTCAGTTATATGAATCGTATTCCACCGAACTTTGATTCCTAAAGGTTTGCTTTTTATGTTTTGATGTTGAATTCACTTTTTTGACGACAATTTTGGGTGTACTGTTTTTTTTATGTTGGGGGTGCGGCTTATAGTCCGACAAATACGGTAATAGAAAAGGCAAATGTGTTTTGGAAGTTTATGGAGCATGTTTTATTTTCCTTAGGGAAACAGTGAGTTTTCTTATTGGCTGCTTGGATATTACTTTTCTTTTTTTAACTTTGCCTTGAAGAAGTATCTGTCAGAAATTGTAGCACTGAGTTGATTTGGCAAAACAATTAGATTTTTAGATCAGAAGGTTTCTACGCTGTTGTCATTTGTAAAGCCGAATGTTCTTCTTATGTTCAGAGTGTGATTGAAGATGTGGCTGAACGCTGAAGCCAGCAGAGAACAGTCTTAGTTTGTGTGAAACTCAGGTCAGAGGAGGTTTGTGGTCAAAAGCATTTGTGTTTATTACTCAATGAAAGACATGTGGAAAGAAAATGTGGTTTAAAGTTGCAAACGCTGCTGCTTGATAGCTTCTTCCAGCGCCTGAAGTTGTTATGTGTTCTCAGAAGATTTCAGAAGTTCCATTTTCTACAGCTTGTTCTGCAGTTAAGATTTACAGTTCATAGTATGATGTAGTAAAACCTGATATTTTATTCACAGTTTAGGTTGATGGTAAGACAGTAAATTTAGAAAAATAGATTAAGATGGGTTTTATAATACAATTCAAACTAAAAGGGGAGGTTCATTAAAAATGTTGTAGTTGGATGGAACATCTTTCCCCAATAATAGCACATCTGTTTAATAGAGCTGTCTGTCTGCTTTGTGCTTTTCAGACAAATCAAGGGAAACTGTGCTGAGTCCTTCACGGAGTACTGGACCTGTGTGGATTATACCGGCTTGCAAGAACTACGTCATTGTCGTAAACAGCAGTATGTTTTTGACAACTGCGTCTTGGATAAGCTGGGCTGGAAGAGACCTGAGCTGGGAGAACTATCGAAGGTACGTTGTGAAGGCACTGACTGTTCTTTCAGAACATGAGCACTTTGACTGATGGGTTCTATTCTGGTTGATTGCTTCTGAGCTTGTCTCTCAATGATTTTTAACAGTCCATGTGTAAGGGACAACTGGGGAATCTGCTTTTGGTTGTAAATATTTTTTCTGGAGCTGGAAAGTTGAACAACAATGGTCAATATGTTGAAACAGTTTATTTTACAAAACTTTATCAGAACACACGACATGTCTCTAAGACAGGGCTATTCAACTGGCGGCCCGCGGGCCACGTCCGGCCCGCCGATTGGTTCATTAATCTCTTAAGCCCAAACCCCCGGTGTTCTACTTTAAGTACTATAAATTCTTTGAGTTAAAAATAGACATATATGCTATCTACAGAAATGTCAGAATCTTGACTAGAAGCTGGTATAAATTATTTTTATGAACACCCAAGACACTTAAAACTACAAGCAATTTGAGATAAAAATAAAAAGTAAAAAGAAAGTAGGCTGAAAAATTTGGCAAGTTAGAGATTTCAAAATGTTATTTTTGTTAAGTAGGGTGCGTAATGTGTTAGTTTTGTTTTAAATATTGTTTTAGTTGCACTACTTAACAAAATCATTTCATTCATAATAGAAACAAAATAAAAATCCCTTAAAAGACTAAGTACATCAAACACTGAATGAAAAGCATGCAGAAAGAAAAAAATATATAATGTCTGCACCTTATTTAAAAAAAATATTTTGGTAAATGGACYGGACCCTCTGAGCACCATCAGCAGGTAAGGCAGGTGAAATGTCTTGTCTCAATCACTGAGACAGCTGGAACGGGGGATTGAACCAGCAACCCTCCGAATACAGGACGACTCCCCTAACCACTCTGCCCACATTTTATGACATGGGGTTCTGTAAGATTTATTAATGATTAAATACAGCAAAATAAACCAATTCAAAGGTAGCAGATCTTTGTAATACTTTGTTTATTTACATAATGACTTTAATTGCTGGATGTTTGGCCCCGTTGCTGTTGGCCTGCAGTAACTGTGGCCCTCGGAGCAATTTAGTTGAAAAGCCTTTCTCTAAAAGTGAAAATCTTTGTCTCTGTGTGCATTTTCAAACTATAATCTGSCATTTTTATGTTGCTTTTGCAATAATGACCTCCTCCTTGCTGAGTGGCCTTTGAGTCCATGTTGGTCCAGGACTTGTTTCAGAATGACACCCTCAAGCTGTGTTTGAGATGTGCCTTAAAATGTGCTTCCAGTGTTGTCAACTAATCTATCAAAATCTTTCAAAGCCATGACATCATTTGTAGTAAGGGTTATGCTAATCTTTAGCGCAGTGAAATGTCCTTTATTGAAACTACTGTTTTATTAACAAAAAACCCCTGTAGAAAATAGCGTTATACCTTTGAAGGCAGGATTTATTGTCTGCAGAAATGTTTAGGTAGGTGGCAACTGTTGAAGGAAGATCAGCGTGGCTGCCAGGATGTGGGGTTTTCCAGCAGAAATTACCGATGACCAGTCCTGCTCGCTTGTCAGTAATTTTCTGGCTAATTTGTGCACATCATTAGTTTATTTGCTGGCACCGCAGCAAAGAATTAGTTTGCTTTTTCTGCAACTTCCCAACATTTAACCGTTGGCCTCACATCGGTGCAGTAATTCCACTTTCAAACATCTGTGCAGGACGTTGACGGCTCAGTGCGGTCACTCTGTGAATGTCTGTCAAACCTTTGTGTTTCCTTTTCCAGGTGACCAAAGTGGCGACCTCACGACCCCTCCCCGAGAATCCAGACTGCTCTAGACCTCGTCCTGAGCCCAATCCAGTATTCACGGACAAGCTGAAGCCTCATTCAAATGACGGCGTGTCCCTTAAGTTTTACTCATGAAGCAGTGTCAGGAAGAAAAAAAAAAAAATCAGTCACCCTCCAAAAAACACGGGTTGTGTCCAAAAACAGCAAGACCACTTTCCAGCATTGATGCAATGATGAGAAGAGTTGAAATCTCAGGTGTTGACATTTAGCTTGCTGGTTTTAGCCCCTTTTTCTGTGGAATTGCCTGAATTTGGACAGGACTCATGACTATGTGAACAGCTTTGTTAGAGTTTGATAAAGGAAAGAAGGATGAATGATWGTGAGTGAAATCCATGAATTCATACAACCTTTCTGACCACTTCTGTAAATTTAACACGTAAACAGAAATCTGTAATTATCGTCGGATAATAAAAATGTAAATTATAAAAGTGGACTCGGATGTTTTTTTTTTCTTTTTAATCCCAGTATTGACTCAGATCCCACATGAGCAGCCAGATAAAGCTTTCTCTAACCCTTAAAAACAGCAAGTATTTAAAGCCGCACGTTTGTGTTTTGTCAGTCTGTGTTGCCAGAATGATGCGGGCTGAAGTTAGAGGTCAAGGCTCGGGGTCAGTACCTGCAGCCAGCGAGAGCTGCTGCTGCTTCCTCCCTTTCTCTCGGCTCACTTCCTGCCTCTGACCTGGACTGGAAGAAGACCAGAGGTGGTGTGTGCGCAGGGATTCAAGTGTGTTGTTGCCTCCAGCACGTGTGCACAGATGCACTTTAGTGACCTTGGATTTAAGGGGACGTGAGGCCAACTGAAAGGTACACCGGCCTGTGGAACATGTAGGATTGTGTCAGTACGCACAAACACACACTTACACTTCAACTGGAGTTTGTTTATAGAGTTAATGCAAAGATGATGAATGTATAGCCAGTGTGGATAAATGTGTGTAAAGATGAGCTTAAAAGAGACATCGGCTTTGTCTCAATTCAGGGGATGCAGCCAGCGTAAGGCACATTTGTTGGCTGCGTATGTCACTGCTCTGTGCAGTAGGCTATCCCAATTTGTAGGCGCCTACTCATGCGGTCGACAAAACTTCCAAAACATAGACTGCATCTGAGTATCTGAAGATATCCCAGGATTCAGGAGTTTGGAAATTTATCACGGATCAAAGAATTTGCTTTTAAATGTAAATTAAACAGCTTCACTGATAAGATTTCTGCTGCGTTGAGATATTAAATCAAATATAATTACAAGTACTGATGCTGAAGCTGCCCAAATTATTAGATCATGTTTTTTTAGTTATGTGTAACGTTTTAATAAAACTGATTTTTGTGAAGTTATACGGTGAAAAGGTTTATCACCAAGGTAAAAGGGCAGTGCGTGGTCATGCAAACACAATCTGTAGACCAGATCGTCTCATTTCACTGCCGTGTATGCACCCTACACTGGTGACCTACAGCCTATGTAGGGTGTGGTGTGGGCCGTGGATGCACGTGGGCTGCAAAATTTTTTTTTCCATTTCTAAATCAATCAGTTGTATATGTCAGCAGAACTGCAATGCTTTGGTCTGAATTCCTCCTTATTGTTAGCCTGGTTCAAACCAGACCCTGTCCTTCACTTTGCTTTGGACAAGGGTCTGGACTTGATGCATAGAGAAGTGATTCTTGCAGGAGGCGTGGCCTCTGCTGAAGCATATGTATGTTGTCGCTGTGACGGAGGCTAAGCTAAGAAGCTAACCGGAAATCGCTYGTGCTGTAAACAACCCTACTGAGAGGAGAAATATACCGAGCCAAACGAGACGACTGTAAATGAGAGCTGCTGCTTTGTCAGACAAATTTATTTTAACTTGGAAGCCTTATCAACACGGACTGGCTTCATTCACTTCCTCCACTGCCGTATGCTAAACTAACTAGCAGACACTGCGCAGAAGAGACACTGCACAGAAAATTGACGCTCTCTTCTCTGATTTGCCCGGCTAAAAATYTGCCAGCGAAATCCTTGTCAGTGGGAGAAGTCCTAGACGGAGCAGTGAAGGGAAACTAGACTTGAGCGGAGCTGCGTAGGAAGGCAAGGGCCAGGCTACCTTATTGTAACTCCACAAGCCCCTCTTTCACCCGTTTTTCTGAGCTGCCTCAGATCAGTTTGTTTTGAGGCTTTAAGTCCAAACGAGGTGCTTTACACCCCGCCCCCCTCCAGCTTCCAGAGCGGTCCATTCTAGTTTGATAGAGGGGTTCATGACGATATATCAGTGCAGAAACTTTTAAATTTACGAATTAAAAGATGTGAACAAGGAAAGACTTGTCCATCCAGACTTACATGTTGGAGCCAGAGTCTGACTCAGAACCAGAGGAAGATGAAGATGACAAACTTAGTTGGTAAGTCCAAACATTATTTGGCAATTCTTTCTCAAACAATTTGATATTATAGTTCAGAAAATGTCGTAGAAAATATAACCCAAACAGATAATAAAGGTATCTTTGCATCACCAGGAGACTACATTAAACATTTCTGCACTCCTAGAGACTACAAGTACACAACTAAATGTATTTGATGGCTAAAAAATTGGATTTAGCATGATGTRTCTCCTAAAACATTAAGAGTTGAAGCCAGTCTAATATAAAATGGCAGCTGGTTGCACAGTTTAGGAGCTACAACCTCCAATCATCTCTGTGGACCAGCCTGGGTGACCTGCGTGTACACTCAGTGGTTATTATCAGAGAGTTTCTGGTGTCCACTGGTTCATTACATATTCTGCTAACTCTACACACAGGCCAAAGAAACATGCTGCTGCGCACCGTTGGCAGCAGGCAGTTAAAAAACCCTTGTGTCAACATGTCAGCATGTTCAAAATCAATCTAGTTATTTAATAATTGCAGACATGAGGGTTGGTGATCCTGAAATCTGTGATTGATTTCTAGGGAACAGCGATGATGCAACATCTGACAGCTTTTTATTTGTACTGAAAAGCAGAACTGTTGCCCCGGCAGGGCTCTTGTGCACGAGTCATATTTTGTTGCAGTAAGAAGTTTGACAGCTATCTGTTGACAGTAACTTTGATTTTATTTGGAATAAATGTAAAAATACACCCGCTTGCTCTGTTTTTTGCTTAGTCTAGATGTAGTGCTGATAAAACGCCGGCGCTGCTCGTTCTCAACATTTTTCCCAGCAGTTTTTCTTGGATCGTACAAACAGCAGGTTCTTGCAGCAAAGTCTCCGTCGATTTCCCAAAACAACCCGTGAGTTTAAGCGTCACCAGGCGGGCAGCGTTTGCACGTTATCACGGACCTCATGGGCGGTAGTTTCAGAAATCCCCCTTGCAAAGGTGTGGTCAGAGCTTGCACAGGAAATGTCTGAAAGACCCTCTTCTGACCTGGACAGAGGGACAAAAAAAGAGGAGAGGATAGATTAAACATTAAGGAGAATGAAGGGGAGGTGACATGAAAAAAAAGGAAAGTGAAGGAGATGGAGAACTGAAAGAATCATCAGAGGGACGAGTGAAAGTTGAGCTCTAGACAAGGCGGACGGACTGAGCGGGTGGGTTTGTAGTTGTTCGGTGGCTGGCAGTGAGGCCCCGGGGCTCGTGGCGGGCCCGGCTCCATGCGACTTGCAGGAAGCAGAGGGTCATCGGGGTTCGACTCAGCACCGCCACAGGAAAGGGGCTCTGGCACAGGAAAGAAATACAATACGGGGCTTTTATAGAGCTACAGCCCGCCTGGGAGAGCAGTATGTTCAAATAGTCTTAACGGCCTGGCCTGTTCATAACACACAACTGTAATATCKCTGTTGTTCATTGACAAAGTTAGTATTTATTATGGCACCAGTAACAACTAGAAGAGGTGTTTCTGCTGCAAAACAAAATAAAGATGATAAAGAAGCATAGCTGTTTTGTGTAGTTCATTATAAATGTATCACTTAAGTGTCTGCAGCTCTGCCGTAAAGTGTTCGCCGAGACATCTGCTGCATCAGTGCCATTAAGAGCCCCTAACATGTGGGTGCACTCCCCTGGACAAACTGAAACGTAGGTGCGTTTGATTTGTTTATGTTGGCTTTTCCCTCGTTGCCACTCAGCTCTGATCTTTTAAGATGGCACACATGGAGTGCTGCTTTCATGTGTCCCATCGACCCCCCCCCCCCCCCACACACACACACACACACACACTGTTGCACAGGTCGGCTTTGAACCGCCATGCAGGTCGCAACTTAAAATGCACGCCAACCAGCCTGAGTACCACCGCTACGTCTGCACCCAGCACTCACGAGGATTACTAATCTGAAAGCTTCAAAAGATTAAAATCCTGTAGGGAAAAAAAATCCATGTTAAACTTGCAAAAGTTTAAATGWCAACATTATAATCAGGAAAAGAGATATTCTTTAGTTTCAGTTCAATTAATCAAAACGTTATGGTGCTTTTGGCTGCATGAGGACTCTTAAAAACAGAATACAACTCATTAGGCTGTACAAAGTGTTGCCAAGTTGTGGGGGGATTATGCAGCATTCACCAAAGAAAAAAAATTACACCCTTGATCTAGTAATTTCCAGATCCGGATGTCATAATTACGAGATGTCATTGTTACGAGATACTGTATATGTCAGAACTATGAGAAATAAAGGCATAATTATGAGAAAAGATGTCATAATTACCAGATAAGATTTCATATGAGAAAAAAATGTCATAATTATGAAAAAAATGTGTCATAATTATGAGATAAGGTTTTATAATTATGAGAAAAGATGTCGTAATTATAAGAAAGTACAGTATGTCGTAATTCTGAGATCCTGATCTTGCAGGTCTATTTTTTTTCTTTGGTGAATGCAATGCTCCTCCGTAGGATTAGAATGTAATACTGTAATAATTTATATTTAATTTGTCTTCATTCATTTTTGATGCATCTAAACCACTTTATTTGGGGCTTTAAAACCTCAATGTTGCAGTTTAACTCTGTTTATGTACTGTGATTTTAGCCGTTTTATTGGAAGGACGGCTAGTTAGCATTAGCCATTAGCTCGTCGATCTGGTCAAAATGATACCTTCTCTCCAAACTGAGGCTGTTCAAAGAGCTATCTACAACAGGTAAGATATTACCTCTTCATAAATCTTCCACAAAACTATACTGTAAGAAAACCGAACTGAGTGAATAAATACATTTTTCAAGCTAAAATTTCCTTTATCGTTGAATTCTCATTGTTTAACAGAGTTGTGGCTGAAGAGTCACTTTCTTTAATTTGCTCTTTTTCAGAAAAATGTTTAATTAGTTTATTCTATTTAAACAACGTTTTATAGAAAAGTCATTACAGCTGTTTTAATTAACCGCAACTTGATTTTGTTGTGAATGAGTTGTCTTTATATGTGTTTTAACAGCAGATTGAGCCATCAGCAAAAATGCTCCCACATACAGCCCATAGATSCTCCTATCCTGAATCAGGATGGTGACAGAGGGATGA